TTTTCTAGAGATTTTTCTAACTGACACATTAGCTGTACGCTGTAAATAATGTTCCAGAAAAAATAACACATTTTAAAGGAGGCAGAGAGGGAATTGGGAACTTATGAACCAGTCAGACAACTGCAATTCTCAGAAAAATACTGCAATAAACAGCCAAATAATTTGGAGGTTTTTAAGAGATAGCCTAAAAGATTTGTAGGGAATCCCTTGAGTTAAACCAATTTAATCTCCTCCTAAACCAGACTATAGGCTTTGTGAATAGGAGAAAAGAAGAAAGGATCACAAGTACTAACTTGCAAGTTTTTTGATACTTCCATGAGACTTTATTTCAAGCAAAGAAAAATTTGTTGATGAAACTAAAGTAAGACGGGTGCAGAAGCACTTGAGAAACTTTAAACATTTTTTTAAAGAATATTTAAAATTAATAGCTCATTGTCCAAAGGGAGGGGTGATGGAGTATAAGACTACAGAAATTTTCCTTACAACTGGTACTATTCAATAATGCAAAATCAGTAAATTAGATTATCACATAAAAGAGTAATTTATTACAGTTGTATTTTATATTATGTTTTGGAGCATACATAAGCAGATTGAATGACAGAACTAGAATTGTCATGCTTAACAAAATTCTCTTTAGGGGCTAGCGAAAGTACAACTGCAAGATGACTACACAGAAATTCTTTGAAAAAGAATCTGGGAGTCACTGTGGTTTGTAAGCTAGGGTGAATCAACACTGTCTTACTGCTGTGAAAACGCAAGCCATACTGGGATGCATGAACAGTGTTGCAGACAACACAGTGAAGTAGTGTTTCTACTCCCACTGACATGGATAGATATTAAATTGAGTACTGCATCCTGTTTCAGGCATCTAACTTCAAAGGAGTTGGACTAACTGGATGGAACAGGATAAGGAGCAAAATATGTACTCTGGAGCAAAAGACTAAGGGAACTGGTTTGCTTAATTTCAGAAGAAACTAAACCTATAGAACTCCATCAATGCTTTAGGCAGATGGTCCATTAGTTGCTCTAGAAAATGACAAAAGCTGTGACCAAAGTGCTGTGAAGTATTAAATTTCTTCTATTGTCCAGAGCTGAAGCAACAGCAAAACAGTGAATGCAAATGAAGACGGATCTAGAGGGAAAAAAAAAAAAATTAAATGTAAACTAGGAAAAAAGAATATTTCAAATATTTAACTACATTTGGAAATGCATTTTAAAGTATCTGTTTCAGGCCATATAAGTTAGGGAAATATTCACTGAAAACCGAGGTACCTACTCAGCAAGTCTCTGTTTTTAACCAGATGACTACTACCCACAGGAAGGAGGGCATCAGCAAAATCTTCCTTACACCATTTAGTCCAGAACAACAACTTTGACAAAGAGCCATTAAGAGCATTAATGCAACTTTCAATACTTAGTTTAAACATTCTTAAACAATTAGATTTCGAATTTAGAAAGGACTTAATACGAAATCAGAAGTTACCATATATTTTGTCCAATGAAATCAAGTAAAATTCATTTTGGATTATTGTACCTCCCTCTCAACTTACAGGGAGATCTTTGACATTGATAATCAGCAAATACCATTTATTATGGACATCAAAATGGGTGGAAAATGGTGCCTCCTAAGGTCTATATTTCATGTTAAAAGGCATTAAAAATGTAAACTTTGTTGAAATACATACCTGAAATCTATTTTTTAACATGATGTATGGTTGAAACTGTATTTTTAAATGGATGTTTAAAGACTGAGCTATTGTACCTTTTATATAAGCAGCAGAAGACAAGGTTTCAATTTGGCTGAATGCACCCAACCAGAAAGCAGTAACCAGAATCCAGAATTCTTTTTGTGTCACATTAACTAAAGTTATGCCCATAGTTCAGCTGAGGTATATTTGCAGCACAGAGCTTTATTAATCCTACAATCTAGGGATTTGTCCCTTCTAAACTGACATTAATCTCATTGCCAGCCTTTTAGTTTTCAGTCTTATTATGCTGAATTGCTTAAAATATAACTGAAATACCCTGTACCTCCTTGCTCTTCTAGATCCAGCAATAAGACATAAATTACTAGTTGTTAAACGTATGCGCATTATCGTGGAAACCTTGAGACTTCTGTTTAAACAATTATCCAGAAAGAAATAAACCTAACTTAAAATCCTGTTTCTTTAATCACTGTCTATCCCAGATCTACCTGGGCCACCAATGATACCATTGACTATGGATATAAAGCATAAATAATCAGTGAGTCAGAGACCAAAACAGTAAGAAGGTAGACAACTAACAGGTATGGCACATGTGTTCAGCAAGGATTTTTACATCTTGTTAGAGAGTAGAAGAGTAACAGGAGAGATCGAGAGGCTATAGTCACTCACTATAGACTGAAGATGCAGTACAGTCTCAGGATTAAGGGAGTCTTCTGAGAGATACAGGCTCAAATCCCAGAAGGTGGAAAAGAGGATTACATTTGCAGTCCTGTAGTCCTTAACAAGTGCCTTTGACCTTGCAGTATTAGGCAGATACCACAACACAGTTGTATTTGGAAAGCATGTGAGGCCCTCCGTTTATTTTGTTTTTCTTAAAAGTGCATAATGCTGTAAAAATGAAACTATGATGGTTTCTGTTCCTCATGGTTTCTAAATGATTTTAAGGTAGGGATAACAAAAAACTGAAACAGATGTTGAAGAGGTTGTAGTATGCCAACTATTGGAACACAGCCAGGACAGGTGAGAAAAGCATCTGTCAGGAATGACACATACTGACCCATAACTTTTTGTGACAGCAAAATGAACTGGATGACTTCCTGAGGTTCTTAGCTAGCTCCATTTTATTCTGATCATCTATCCTTCAGAAGGGATCAGACTGGTTTTAATCTTAGCAAAAGCAGAAATTCCTCCCACAGGTTTAAAGACTATAAATTCACTTGAAATGTAAGAAATTTAGATTCAACTGAATAATTTGAAACATTGAGGTATGTTCTTAGGGCTTGCAAGTACTGTACATGTCATCTTAACTCATATTTTAAATACAGTATCACTATTTAATGTTGGGGTGATAAGAGAATGTATTGAAATATTGCAGAAGAAAGGTAGAAAATCATGTCCTGTGAAATACTTGATGTACTGTGTCACCTAACTGAATATATTTATCAATAAACATATCTGATTGTGCTGCAATTTTATCAGTTTCCACAAATTAAGTGGATTAAAGTCTTTTGGTATGTAGCACACCTCAAAGTAAAATATCAGGCAGAGTATGGGAACAGATACTGTTTAGAACTAAGCCTACATGGTTTTAGGTAATAATAGGGTACGTTTTATCAGATGATCGATATGCTAAAGCCACTGGTAAGGAAAGTCCATGTCATTCTAGATTGGCAAGACTTGGCGTATCACTTTTGACATGGCACTCAACCTCACATAAAATCTACAGTTTCAACAGACACAAAGGCGGTCTTCCTATCACAGGTTGTTAGGGAGACTTCTAATGCAAAGATGCTTCACTTCAGTATGGTTATTGTTTTCATATGACTGTTATTAAATGTTATAGGACAGTAAACATCAGAGGTATTCAGGGTATCACAATGTAATTTTAGAATTCACCCTTTACTTTCAGATTTATTCTTGCTTGACACATTATCTGCCATTAGAGTTAAAAGGGGGAAAGTATTTTTAATATTTATAGCCACTAATTTTAAACATTACAGTTTGACTCACTGAAAGTGTGTACTTTAGCATGAATAAATACTAACACAAAGCTAAGAAGTACTACAAATAGGACTATAATTAGACAGATGTGGAAATACCAGAATTTGACATCAGAAACGGTGTGCTGTTGCACAGTCATACATTTCTTGCTAATCCTATAATTTCACCAATTAAAAAAAATTAGGCATTTGAATACTGAGGAGGCATATGGAATGAAGGGATACCAGATCTTCAGAAAGGACAGGCTAGGAAGACCTAAGAAGGAGGGGGAATTCCCCTTTATGTGAAAGAGCAGCTGGAGTGCATGGAGCGGATACATAGGAGCGAATCAGAGTTCAGGTATTGGAGCATCTCTCATATGAGGCCAGGCTGAGCAAACTGGAGAAGAGAAGGTTCTGGGAAATCTCATCAATGCATATAAATACCTGAAAGGAGAGCAAAAAGAAAAATGGAGACTGGCTCTTTTCAGTGGTGCCCAGTGGCAGACCCAGTTTCACAAACTGAAACACAGGAGGTGCCATCTGAACATCAGTAAACACTTTTCACATTTTCTATGACATGGTCTAAATTTCCTTCTTGCAGAATAATTTTAATTGCAATTTAATGGTATAAGCTTGCATCTAAAGATGTAATAGAACTGCAGCAGAGCTTGTGTTACCAAGCTTTGCCTTCTATCTTTCAATCTCAGAATTAAAATCAAAGGCAACAATTTGCAACAATAATGAAATGCCAACAAATTAAAAATTGACAGTGCAGCGGATCAGTTGACAGAAGAATAGACTTGAGTTATATAAGTGGACCTATAAAGCTTTCCTGTGTTGGTAATTTGATGATATTTTGCTGTACAACAAAAAACAACAACAACAACAACAAAAAAACAAAAAAACAACAAAAACCAAAAACAAAGCCAAACAGAAAAATCAATGAACATTCCTCCCTAGCAACAGAGAAGAAAAATCAGGAGCAGTGTGGAGAGGATGATGAACAGGCAGTAACTGACTGATGGCTGCAGTAATCTGAAGAGACTCAGCAGAGATCACTGTTTAGCTCTGGCTGCAGCAGTAACACCAGGCAACAAAATGTAGTTAACATTTTAGACCAAGAATGTAAATGAATTTTCACATTCATAAAAAAAACAATTAAAAGGGAATAGTTATCAGTCCTTGCAATTGTAGTACATCTTGTAATTGCCATTAAATGTCAAAGATATTATTATTAAAGTACCAGTCTAGCAGCCTTCATGTGTAGCACTGTTGAAAGACATTAACAAAAAAAATCAGAATTAGATTGCAGTTTTGTAACAGCAGCTGTATAGGATCTTTATGCTACAATTTATTACATACATGGTCATATCAAATATGAAGAACTATAAGCACCAAAAGCTCTACCTGTCATCTCTATGGCTAGGCTCTGATTTGCTCCCCTAACCTGTCTTGAGAAAATATTCCCAGGCTGTCAGCACAAAAGCTTGCCGAGATAAATGCCATGACATATCCAGAATGTCAGACCACTGGACTGTTCCAAAAAGAGTCACTGTAGAAAACCTAACTTAAATGAAATCAAAGGGCCCAACCTTCCTAATGACAGACCTAATCTATTTCAATAGTAGTAAATAGGGAGACATGTTGTAAAAGTGCATAACAGAAAACTTACACGTGAGCAATACTGTGCAATTTTTTTTTAAACTATTAATCTTTAGGATTACTCCTGTATTACTTAAATATCATCTATTTGAATTGTATGGTGCCTAACTGCCAATCATGAATGTTAAACCTGCTGAGTGACAATTACAACAAAAAGAGCATGACTTTTTCAGTCATGCAAAATCCTTCTTTAGGAGACCTCCAAAGTTTTGACAGATACTGGGCAGAAAGTCCTTTACTGAGACAATTCTTCCATTGAACAGACAGAAGTAACATGAGTAATTCATTGAATTTTCCCAATAAATAACTGAAAAGGGGTTTCACAATGTTTGATGGTGTTTGTGAAGTATCGATAGTAGTTCTCTGTTCCCTCTAACCAGTTCCTGACCAGAGTTCCAGAGAGAAACGGAAAAGGCCTTCTCTTCCAAACCCAGCAGTTTTATGAGCTGAAAATAGAAAACAACTCATCACTAAAGCATATGGACATGATCTATGCCAAGATCATGATGCTATACCAGAAATGTTTAGCATACCACATCTCCTATATAAAGCGCCCTATTACACTAAGAGGTGAAAGGATCTGTGCTAAATCCTCATAATGAATTCTGATTATTTTTCTAAATATGCATGGCCAAAGAAACCAAACAAACAAGAGCCCACTGTAAAATATTTCCATTTTGGTAACGTGCTGGAGCAACACACATAGATTTCCCACAATAATGAAGAGTGTACCACTCTTCAACCAGTTCATTCCACTCAGAACCACAAATACATCAAAAATATCTTCAGCACATCTGTACAGAAATTTCCATAGCAGGGCAGCTCCCCCTTGTAGCATAGAGCACGTCTGTCCCATCAATCTTGCTAGAAGCGTTCCTTAGGTACTATATGCCAGCAGCAGAGGGCTCAGAGGCATGCTGTAACCATGCGAGTCCAAGCCATGGAAATAGAACAGGCTTCCTGACTACACAGTTGAGCAAAACCTGGACACAGGAGAAAAATAAATTAACATTTAACAATCATGAGACTTTTTAAAGGACTGATCAAAATTAAGCAGTTTGAAAACAGACTACAACTGAAAACATCCATCAAACAATAAAGAAGAAAATATGTTAGAGGGGGCAATAAATGAGACCAGCCACAGAAATGAAACTGACATAGTGAAAATTGACATAAGCAACAAACAAAGTAATTTAGAAGAATTTTATATAGACAAAGAAATTATTATCACTGGAAAAATATAAAGAAGCAGCTGGTTAAATTGTAAGTATTAATGAAGCTTACAAACATTAAAAGCAGAATTTCCAGGTGAAACAAAACGTGAGGAGAAAAAGTGCTAAGAGTAGCAGTGGTAAATGTAAAGGAGTAGGTAATAGGGCACATGAAAAATGCCACACAGAGATTCAAGACAGTTGAGTTGTTTTTTTTTTTTCTAACAGTAAATAAGGTAACTTGAGTAGGCTGTGGTCAACAGCCTGGTATTTCAATAGCTAGCATTGATGTTATTTATAAATAAAAATCCTTCTACTCCTCACAATTTCAGGTTATATATCTAAAGATCACATAAGGATCATTTTTACTGTTACCACAGCACTGCCCTGGGAGTTCATATTGGCTTACTTGTACATTAAAATCCCTGGACTCTTTTGAGAGTAACAGAAACATTCTTAAAAATTTCTAATTCTTGCTTGTGTTCCTGGTTCTAGGTGTTTGACTTTGCAAGTGTTTATGCTGAAATTACACTTCCAAGTGAATCTGAATTACTAAAAAAAAAAAATCTAGATTACTGACAAAACTACACTGACATCCTTGCTACTTACTATTAATCAGTCTTTGCATCAGTCACACTTGGTTTTTTTCAGTGATCTTTGATTACACTCCTTTGATAGAACTGTTTGAAAACATGAACATTTAGTGTTACAGCTATGTAGTTACTTTTACGCCAATCTTGTAACCTTATCAAAGCATTAAGTCAGCTTTCTTTACAACAGCAATTTTCCCTAGAACTGTTGATTTGCATTAAGTATATTCTTATACTTTAATTCTTGTTTTAATCAGCTTAGTCACATGAGTTTTCTGTTAGACAACAGTCTAACCCAGTGTCGTGGTTTAAACCCAGTCAGGTAACTCGTTCACTCACTTCCCCCCCTTTCTTGCCCTCCCCCTGCTCCCAGAGGGACGGAGAGGAGAATCGAAAAGAATGCAACTCCCACGGGTTGAGATAAGAACAGTTTAGTAACTAAGGTATAACACAAATCACTACTGCTACCACCAGTGATAATAATGATAAAGGAAATAACAAGGGAAGAGAATACATCATCTCACCACCAGCCGACTGATAACTCGAACCCCCCAGCCCGACCAAGCTCTGACCCATACCTCCTCCAGCCCTGCAGACTCCCAGCCCTTCCGGCTAACTCCCCGTTACATCCTGGGCATGACGTGCTGTGGTATGGAATACCCCTTTGGTCAGTTTGGGTCAGGTGTCCTGTCTCTGCTTCCTCCTGGCTTCCCCTCCTCCCTGGCAGAGCATGAGGCTCACACAGTCCTTGGCCAAACCAAAACATCCTTGTTATCAGCTCTGTTCCCAAGCTGAAAGTCAAAACACTGCACTACACCAGCTACCAAGGAGGAGAAAAATAACTGCTACTGCTGAACCCAGGACACCCAGTCATAGTCAACTCACTTATTTAAACATTGGCATGACATGGGTATAAACAGCTTTCAGAAATTTTACCACACAAAGCTACCGTTAATATCAGCCAATCAAAAATCTAACCAACAAATCCTTAAGTAAGTTAATTCACAGAATCACAGCATGGTTTGGGTTAGAATGGACTTTAAAGGTCATCTAGTTATAACCCCACCACCACAAGATACAAGGTGGCGCACAGCAGAAATTCAAATACAATTCAAAACTGTATTTTTGTCCATACGACTCGTAACTCCATACTAGTAATAGACATGACACCAGTATCTATATAAAATACCCCTGACTACATTCAGATTTAAAACAGGATTAGTCCACATAAACACACTGAAACTACAGTTAACCTACATTCAGATGATACTTTAACAAATTCAGATTCTTTTATTTCTTTCCAGTATACAATTGTTTGTGGGTTTTTGCCCTCATGTTATGATACACAAGACCCATCTAAATGGGTGCAACTGACTTCTGTTTAGACGGACTAAGGAAGTTAAGTGTCTGCAAAAAACAAGCACAGTAAAAATCAGAATTTTTATTTAGTCTTTGCATAATATTTACATTAGTTTATACATATAGATACACACTTCAAACATAACAGCAATATTTTAAAGCTTAACTTTCATAAATCCCATAGGAATGGCATTCTCAAACCAGAACACATGTACTAGCAAGAAATTAATACAAACCACTTCAAAGTGATGCATGGACACTGTGTGACTCCATGCTGAGAACTACTTCTACTTCTGCCTTGAGTTAAACAATAATATATTTTTTGGAAGTACATGAAAGTTGATGAAGATGATCAGAAATTTTAAAAAACTGCTTCGTAACTACATTAGGATTCCCCTTCTTGACAAAAATGGCTGAGAGAGCATATATAAAGTATATAGACTTTTACATAAAGAAAGTGACTAGGGAATCTTTTCCACTACTGTACTTCGGAGAATAAGGCAACATCAAATTAACAGAGATTACAAAACATCAGGTTTTCTAAACCAAAAAAAAAGTGATCATAATGTATACCTTACCATTATGATTTTTGAAACTGGTATTCCTTAAATTCGCTGGTTTAACGCACGACTTCCTATTAAAACTTTCTAAAAATACTGGTTATAGTTGACTAGGTAAGGGCTAGACATTCAGGCACTTTTACTTTTCACTCACACTGCTTCAAAAATATATTCAAATTCTACCCTATTATAGTCTCTTATCATAAAAGTGGTATTATTTTTCCTAATACCGCAACACTGGTGATGACCACATCTTTGCTCCTCAGACTAATAATGTCAGTTACTTATGAATTCACCCCAGTTCTCTTTACAAGCATTTTTTTTTTAATCTTTCAAGTTCTTCAGGAGCCTTTTCTCTTCCTGTTATTTTCTGCCTCCTCAACTTACATTGTTTCACCAGTTCAGTACCTGGCACCTTGTAACTATCCTCTTGTCTATCACTCCTATAAATATCTCTGTCCTATGATACATGAAATAGTGGACTACTCAATAAAGTAGTCTACTTGTAACATTCCATGTAACTCTCGTCACCTCACAGTGTAAAACACAGGAACTGCACCTTAAATACCAACTAGTATGACATAATTAATCACAACTAGGGGGTCCAGATAGGAACTATCACAATACAAATTAATCTTAAATAGTTAAAATGACACAGGCATTCTTTTGTATTAAAAAGAAAAAAAAAAAAATCACATGGTTTTAGACTAAATGATGGGTTTAGACTAAAAGCTTTCTAAATCCTTTCTTCTTAAGAGTATACTGTTTCAAAGAAACTGCCAGTGACTCTTTTTTCCAACCTACTGTGCTACAGCATTGAAAGGATATTGTAGCAGAAAGTAATCTGATCCTAAAATCCCGATCAGTTTAATGTGCAATGAAAAGTAAACAAAAGCCTGCATTGTTGCAGGAAAAAAAAAAAGCACCAAAAACCAACAGTGTGGATTAAAGCAGGTAAAGAACTGTTTGATCTGTCTCAGAACTCTATCCAGAGCAAACTGTTCAAACTTGACTGATGAGGGGAGCTGTGTTGACTTTTTCTCCTTCCCTAAAAAGCTTCCTAACACTGTAATCACCAACAAAAAAACCTTGCATTATTCCAAGCAGCCATTAACCTTGGGATCATCTTATTATTTGGTAGGATTCCGTGCATATTTTCAAGAAGTTTTACACGGAGAAGTGGAAACAGCTGCAAGTTCATCAGACAGAAGCCCAGAGTCAGACAGAAAATAAAAACACTCAAATGTAAATAAATACAGCCCAGATGTAGTTTATAACCCAGAAGAGCCGAATGTATTATCCTAGCAGAGACATAGCTCCCAGTCAGAAATTAGCTTATGCTCACCTGAAGCCAGGTGGAATGAAAGATAATACAGACACTGAGTAACACATCTCTCATGTAGATTACCATGAAAACCTCCTCTGTACAAGCCATGGTCTCTGCAGGTTATACAAAATCAGACAATTTGGGCAAAACCACAAACTGGCCATGCTTTGTACAAGCCAACACAAACTGCCGACATTCAGAATTGAGCTATTTATTTTCTAGACCAAAAACAACTTCTGCAGAACCTTGTAACAGGTAGAGTGACAGTAAAATAACACGCAGAAGAAAGGCGTTAACTAGTTAAATGTAACTAGAACAGTATCAGCCTAACTGAAGCTAAAAATAGCCTGTTATTTCATAAAGCTAGCGCTGACCCACATTGAGGTGTTTTCCAGGCCAGCCGTATCTGGCTGGGGACTGACTCCCATGCCTCCACCAGTTAACACACGGAGGTGACACCGCAGGTGTTTCCCACTGCCGGATTTCACCCTGGAGCCGTCCGCCTGTCAGTAAACCCTGTGTCTGAGGAGAAGGGGCTTCTTCAGGGCGAGAGACAGCGCAAGGCTGAGAGTCCACATTGTTTCCCACTCCACTTCTGCCATACTGGGCCGATCTCCCACCTATAAAACCAGAAACCATGATTTTATTTCTTTTCAAAAGCACAGAATAATTCGCAGACAAAACGCGCTAAGAGCTTCCGGTTAGCATCAAACTCGCAAAAGAGGTTTTGCGACAGGGGCGTGAAGGCGCTTAGGGGTTAGAACGCAGAGCCGCGACTGCTTCACCACCGTCCGCTTCCGAGGCCGGAGTGTCGCAACACGCCATCCCTTTCCCCCCTCACCATTTCCGCCTCTCAGGCCCGCCGGGCGCCCCGCCCTCAGGCACCCCCCAACCCGGGAACTGGCTGGCCGCAGCCGGCGAGCCGCAGCAGCTGCGGGGCGTCCATCGACCGCCCTGTGCCCAGGGCGCGGGGAACCGTCTAGAACTCGCCGTCCCAGGGGAGTCGGAGGCCGCGCCGGGTGGTTCAAGGCCAAGCTGCCGGCTGGGGGAGCGGCTCCAGCCCCAACCCAGAGGCGTGTCCCGCTCTGCCTGCGCCGCGCCACACCCCATCCGGCCCTGCCGCCACCCGCTTCATTCACTAACCGGTTCTCGCCGGCTGCCTCCGCCTCCCGGCTGCCCCCCATCTCCGCCCCTCCGGCCGGCGCCACATCCCCCGGCACCTTCGCTGCCGCCCCCCGCGCGCTGGCGGCGCCTCTAATTGGGCGAGAGAAACGGCCATCGGTGACGTCCACGAGAGAGGGTGGGTCCTGGGGCGCCAGTGCGGGAGGCGGCGCCGAGTGTCCCTGCTGGTGCAGCCGCGTCCGCTCCGCGCCATCCCGCACAGCCGCCCGCCGCCGCAGCTGTATGGTCCATCCCCGCTCTGCCGCTGAACCCCCTCCGGCAGCTCCGCGGCCTCCAGTGCCTCCGCGTCCTCCTGGTTCTGCTCCTCCTGCCCCCGGCGGTGGCGCCCGCACCCCGGCTGTATGATCAGGCTACAGTCTTCAATGAGTAACCATATTCCTGTGAGTGTCGCCCGCATGTCCGCGCCCTCAGCCCGCCTTCCCCGGCCCCTAGCGCCGCCGGCTGTCTGGTCCTCAGGCTGCCCGCGTGTGCCCTGCTACCGCGCCTCTCATCCCCCTTTCCCTCTGCCTTCCCCGTTTCCTCCATGTTTCTTTGTTCTGTCGCCCGGGCCACGCCGGCTCCGGGCTGCTGCTCGCAGGGCCGGGCTGCGGCTTCTCCCGGGCGGGCTGCAGGAGAGCCGAAGAAGCCAGCCCCGGTGCGGGGGTGCTCAGCCCTTTTGGCGCCCCTTAGCTACTTCTCTCTCCTGACGGTGCCCGTTTCTTATCTGCCGGGAGAAAAGGAGGGGGCGACCTCTCCGCAGCTCCCGAGCGGCCCGGCCTGGGCACAAAGCCGCTTTGTGATCCTGGCTGCTGCCGGCCCCTCCCGCCGGCCTGGCATTCTCCCCCGCCGGTGTCTGTCTGGCCGGGCTGGGCCGGGCTGGGCTGGGCGGGCGGGCGGCCGCCGGGAAGGGCAGCGCCCTTGCGGCCGCGGCCCCAGCACCCCCGGACTTTGTCAGGCAGGCAGTGGCGGGAGCCGGGAGCCCCCTGCCGGGAGGAAGCCGGGACCGGGCGGCGGCTCCGGGGGACAAGATGGCTCCGTGTCGGGAGCCTGATCGAAGCGTGATGCGAACCCGTGACCGCTGCAGCTGGGGCGACGGCCCGGCCCTTGGGGCGGTGTCACGGCCGGGAAACCAGCTCCTCACCGGGGAGAGACGGGCAGGCCGGGAGCCCAGCGCCCCAAGGCTGACGCGACGCTCGGGCGGCCGGAGCCTGGGTCTTAAGGGGCAAGCCAGGGCTTGCCCGTGGCTGCCCGCCAGCCCAGTGGTGCGGTGGGGAGCGTGGCCGGGCCATGCCGCTGGTTGCTGGGGCGTCCGGTTCTCGCCCCCCGCCGTGGCCCCACGTGTGCGGCCGCCGCCGGGGCGTGGGCGGCCGAGCTGCTGCTTTGTCTCCGGCGTCCTCGGGTGGACGTGAATCCTTTCCGAAATGAGTTTTACGCAGCAGAAGTGCGGTATGCACGAACTCCCGTATGCAGCTGGCCTTGTTCAGGCCGGGCTTTTAGATGGCTCTTCGGCCGGATGAAAAGTCCTCAGAGGAGTCACTCGAGTACACGTTGAAGTCGATGTTTCTGCAACAGTGTGCCATTATCCCTCAGAAGCTCACAAACGCGGTCAGATTTTGACCGAAGCTGCTTTTAAGATCTTGCCGTCTGGCTTTTCGAGGAAGGCATTTTCTTCCGGCGGTGGATCACGGTTTCAGCATCTGAAGTTTTTGCTTTCCTCATCTGCTTGCCAACTCCTTGCTCTCCCTTCCCCCTCCCAGGTAGTCTTGGTGCCAGTTGCTGCCTAGCATCTGTGACCGCAGTGCACAAACAGTGCAAGGCTTGCTGGTGGTAGTAAGTCCTTCAAAAGTGGGGAAGCAAGCAAGACAAAGCATTATGAGAATCAAGTAATCTACAGTAATAGAAGCGGGATTAGTGGTAGTTATGTGCAGATCTTGGTTGTGGTCTCATAACCAGATGTGCACAGAGCAAATGTTACGAACTGACAAATGCACAGTCTCTGTAGCGTGAGGGACCTGCAATTCTAGTGTTTCTTACCACTGCTGTAGACAACTTTCCAGTATGTCTCCGGCATCTGCAGTCTTTCCCAAGCAGTGAGTGACTCAGATGTATGAACCCTGTCTCCTTGTAATCTTGTAAAACTGTGAAATCAAAAAACATGAAGGTGACACTTTAAATGGCAGTTCTTACTATTCCATTGATGAAACAGCAGAGGGTTTTGAAATTGTTGTACAGGAAAAGAATTGTTTTGGGGGAAATATAAAAGAAGCAGCACAAAATTGCACAGCCATGGGAGGAAATAAGAGAGTGAGAAAGAAAAATGAGTGACAGAGTGGGAGCCAAAGAAGGATGTCATTGTCTTATCAAAACTAAATGTGTCAGGCAGTAAATAAATAGCATTTAGCCTTATCCGATAACTTCTATCTTGTGCAACCTTCCTGTTCTGACAGAATACATGCCACGTAAGAGTGCTGGATCTGTCCCAGTGTGTGGGCTGTCTATAAGTGATCACTTGTTCTCTTAAAGATTAACCAGAGCACCCAGATCAGAGTATTACTGAATTCTGAATAATCTAAGTAGCAGATAGTAACTTTACTAAAAAAGAAAAAAAAACCCAAACAGCTAAAATTCACTCACTCAGGTCAATACAAGAGGTACTTCTGTGTTAAATGTAAATCTGTAGCTCCTTACAGTTTTCTACACAGATTAAACTTCTTGTTTGGCACTCTTACCCTTATTAGACGCAGTAAAATAGAGCAGTAATGGTCTTTGCATGCATATGCTAAATTTCTCATGTTTACTGCTTTAAACATAATGGAGTAATTCTTGAGTAGAATGACAGGGTTTATGTCATTTGCTATTGAAGTGACAACATTAAGTCATTTTGACATTCTGTTTTCAGAAACTCTGGAGGCCTCACAAGGCAAGGACATGGTTTCTGTGATTTATTATTTTTTCCTGATATCTGCTGAAGCTTCTTTGTGGGATTTTTTTGGTTGGTTGGTTGGGGAGGGTGGAGGTTGGTCATTTGGGGATTTTTTTTTTCATGGTCCAAGCAGAACTAGAAACACAACCACATGGCCTCAGTTTTATCATCTCTGGAAGCTCTATTGACTTGTTAGGCAGGAAGCCTTGAGATAATTTTTTCTTCCCCCTAAACTGCATTCTTGAATCGCAAGAAACATCCTTCACAGAGCATGTTGCAACAAATACATGATAAAACCTTTGGAATCTCCCCTCTGTCATACATGAATGTATTTTCTTAGGCCATTGGTCACTTTCTCTGGTCCAAAATGGGTAGTGTTATCACCGTGGGTATCCTAATACAGGCATTTGTGTGCCCAGTAGATAGGAGACCCATCATGTCAACAATACCTAATGATGTGCCTCTACTTTGTGTAATGATTCTGCAGTTTGTACCCCTTACCCTCCCACTTCTTGTCTGCCTTAGCAGTTGCTACTTAGGCTTTGGGTAGTAAGAGAAAGGGGTGTTTGTCCCTCAGTCTTTCAGTAACTTTTTGTCATGTAGTAAGGTAGAACAATGAACTTACTTGCAGGTGTTCTCAAACTATAATGAAATGTAGTTCTAGCTTTCTAGTTCTGATCCTGTGGTTTCAGTAGTTGAGCAGGTGGTAGGTTTTGACTTCAGAGAATGTGGTAGCACGTGGTTGGTTCTGGGTATAAATGTTTCTGGTCTATGAGCAGGTGGATTGAGCAACTGTGAACCATCTTGCACATCTTCTGAGTGAAGTGTCCTGTAACTGTAAACAAGCACTTTTGTTTGCATGCTTCTCAAGATACTACCTCGTTGTGAACAAGAATGTCAACAGCATAGGATAACCTTAGACCTCTCTGCTTTCCACCTGTCAGTAACAGTCTAGTAAGTTACTTGTTACTTTCATAAGCAGTTTTTGCCAGACACAAGTGATTGTTTCAAACCCAGAATTAACATGCAACTGAATCTGCTTGTCAGTGAAGACAGATACTTTAGCTTTCAGCCATAAAGACATGAATTAAAGCTTTTCTTTTCAAGATGAATTCCTCTTGCTTGAATTCTCTTAACTTTTCCTAGCATAAACAATGGTAGATGGTACAATCATAATTAACATTACTTTATCCCATATTGGACAGGATACCTTCTCTTAATAGGTGGTCCTGGTGTATTAACCTTAGTTTTGTTTTCCAAGTTTATTTTGATGGGTCTAACAGCCTAAATGTTTGGCTTTCAGTTACTGATAAGAACAGTTGCTTTTATTTACAAATCCCTGATGTGTTAATTTTCCTCAAGGAAAACACGTGTAAACTGAAAGGAATATGCTGGAATACCCAGCTTGATGGTACAAACAATGAGTTGCTGTTAAGCATACAGTACTCTGCACTTGAGTTTCACTTCTGCAGCCTTACACTTACATACACTATCTTGACTTTTTGGATAGCTTACCTACCAACTAGTTAACTGTCTCAGACAATAAAGTAATTTAAAAGTGTATTTCCAAGCTTCTCAAAAGTTAGCTCATGCAATTTGAGTTTTCTCTAAGCCTGAAGTGGTCTTAATTACTACAACACTTTTTATAGCTTATTTCTTATCCTCCAAGTCTTTTTGCGAAAGGGTGAAGTATACTACTCTGGCTTAGTGCCATAGCACAAACAGTATGCCAGGGTACTACTTGTCTTTAATTTTCATTTGACTCCCACAACAGAACTAAACTTGGTTAGCAAAGCTGTCTTAAGGATAGTACAGTGTGTCGCTGGCCAGAGAAGTTGGTCTGCATGTGGAGCTTTCTGACTAGAAATGGTGAGAAGTGGTGGCATTCACATCAAAGGAAAATGTGAGCTTTGTTTCTTTGTACTGGAGCAGCAGTAGTTGCCAAGGCAAACAGTGAGAACTCAAGCTTAATATTGTGTAATATACTTGCTTCAACTTTGTGTAAGAATTTGAACTTTGCGCCCAGTTTCTAGATATGATTAACAATCTGTGTTTAAAAAGTAGGATTTATTACTTGACTAATGCTTTGCTGCCTGTCTTCATCTTTACCCCTGTGATCAGTTTGTCTGGTATCATACTGAGTACTAATTGTGTACTAATGACAGCATGCTTACCAGGCTGGATGAATCCTGATTACATCTTACTTCCTACTTTCCTCAGTGTGGGGTCATATTTACTGTTAACAATTACTCTACATTCTTTCCTCCCAAAAAATCTGTCTTGCAGATTGAAAGGTCTTCTATTTACCCTAGTGACTTCATTCTGTCTCCTTGAGCTCACTTGCATGCATTTCTGTTTCTGACAACCTTCACTCTACCAGGGGGAAAGACTGGCCATGGCTCCTCTTAGCAGTCTTAGAAGAGAGAAACATGAGATCTGCCAGAGCATGTGAAAAGCAGCACAAGACCTTGTGCAGCTCTATCTGCTTAAAGCTGCGCTGTTCTGTTTCTTAAACTAATTTAAAGTGACTTTAAATAAGCTAACTTTTGGTCTTTTTAGTTACAATTTTAGGTGTTCCTTAGGTCTGCTCCTAGGAGTCTTTTTAATACACCCCTGCCTTCTGCTAGGGCATGGCTGGTGTGTCAGATCATGATTCTTGGAGGTCTGAGTCTGAATTATCCTGGTTCCTGTTACTCTGTTGGCCTTTGGCTTCAGAGGGTCTTCTTATTCATTTCATGCCTTTTACATTTAGAGTTCCCACTGTTCCTCAAGCTATCACAAATAAAACCTTCATTCTACAACCCATACAGAAATGGATATGGTAATTATCTGGGGTGGCGGCCTAGTGCATATCAAATTGTCTTACTAGTTTCTTGTATTTGTTAGCAGGTTTTGTTTCTTTGGGGTGGGTTTTTTTTTTTTTGTTTGTCTTGTTTTCTGTGGTTTTGGTTGTGGGGTTTGTTTTGTTGTTGTTTTTTTGGTTTTGTTTGTTTCTTTTGATTTATTTATTTATTGAAGCCTTAAAACTTCTCACAGGGAAGCTATCTAAAAACATGAAAAGGATACCTGAATGTGTTTGGTTTACATTTTTTTTTTAGAGGTCTTTTGTAACATTGTACAATGCTGCTCTACCCATCTGTTACAATCCAATCTCCTAATGATTCTGATCGTTTCTGTTACTACTACTCTGTTACTGAACTTCCTCTTCTCTGGACTTACGAATGGAGCAACGCTATGTCTACAACATAAAAACACTGCTGCAATTCTTTAAATTATAGTTGTCTTTAAGAACTCTTATACTGCCAAGGTACCTAGATGACCTTTAAAGGTCCCTTTCAACAGTTATTCTGTGATTCTATACCTCTTAGAAAACTCAACACTTATTAAACTATTGGTCTCTTGTGGCTCCTGCTTAATAATAGTTTTTGTTAGATAGACTCACTGTAGTCTTATAGTATAAGGTTTAATGCCTGTAGTGGAATCTTGGACTAACTTCAAATCCTAGATGGCAGTTAATGACCATGATTTATTTGCATGTCACTTTTTCTTCCTGCCGTTTGGGAAAGTGAACGAAGATACTGGTTATTACCAGCACTTACTGTATAGTTGTCTTAATTTGCTTTCTCATGATTGGAAAGCTTTTCAGCACAGGCTGCTGCTTTCATAGTCTTTTGAATGGGAGGGTTTGAGTGTAGAACACTGAAATAATGTCTCTTATTTTCTCATGCACGCTTGCAGTGATTATATGTGTGGATGGATGCACAGAGCTTGCTTGTAGTTTAAAAAAAAATCTGAACACTGCTACAGTGAAGTTACTGGTTTTGTTTGCTAGAAACTAGATTTATGAAGGCAAAGAACTGATATTACGTGGTTTTAGCTAGACTGTGACCACTATCTTGGAATATTAATAAATTCATAGTGTAAAAAGGCAGATGAAGGTTGGGTCTTCAGCCTTTAGTGTGTGAAATGTTCCTTAGTCAGAAATCTGTGTGACCTGAAAGTCTCAAAAAATGTTCAGATCACAGTTTTTTGTTAGCCCACAGAGACCTTGCATTTGCTTCCACAGTCTCCCATTTGAGACAGCTGGATTTAGGTGAATTTTTTCTTTTTTTTTTTTTTAACTGGCTGTTCTGTATGTTAATTAATGATGCTTATGCAAAGTAAGTCTTTTGCCTTTAAGAAGTGATTTTACATCTATGTAGAGACTTGTAGGTTTTTTTTAAACACTAGAAATTGCTTGATACTCAGCTTGAGTATCAAACAAGGAATCTCATCCTTGCCTTCATGGGACTGCTTAAGGTCAGTATAACTTTAGTATGTGTTGTATGCCTCCCAATTCAGAATGTAAAATACAGTTGTATGGGTATCCTGGAAAAGCTGTGCTTCATATAAATACAGGGTTTCTTGAAATCTGGTGTCTTCTTGCTATGTTTATCACATTTGAATTGGTATTTTAATACATTTCCATTTCTGGTGTTGAAACAACCCTATATGCAAACTTTGTATTAATTAAATGCATTTATTTTCAAGTAATCCTTGCTAAGAAAGGTTAATGGGATTCTTGGATTAAAAAAAAAAAAACTTGTGAAACCGCTTAGTTGCCCTGATTTTAATTTTTAATTTTATAATGCTTGGTGTCTTCAAAACAATCTCACTTCACCTGTGCTCATTATGCTTCTTTTTTTGTTTTTTTTTTTTTCTCTTCTCTTTACAGCAGTTCTGTGGTGTTCTTGGTCACACATTTATGGAGTTTCTGAAGGGCAGTGGAGACTACTGCCAGGCACAGCACGACCTCTATGCAGACAAGTGAACTGTAGAAATTCATTACTACTCCACCAAGAAGCCCCCCTAAGAGTGGTTGACCAGGATAAGTAGTATTGAATTGAAATTGGCAGAGCATTTAACAACAGAATTCAGACCTGGATGGGGTAAACCTCAGTGCACTGCCTTTCTTTTGCCTCAGTATTACTGGATTGAAGAGTTGCTGCTTCTTGTTAGGAGGTTCATTTCATTTCCCATTGCTCCCAACTTCATACGTCCAAGCACTGAGAATTTCACGTGGAGTATAGTGAAGTAGACTTCCGTTTCTCTACATCACTTCTGTATTAGAATTTTTTTTTGAATCCTTTCATAATCTTGTTGCATGTTTATCTAAATCAATATGGCCCGAATGAACCGCCCAGCTCCTGTGGAAATCACCTACAAGAACATGAGATTCCTAATCACACACAATCCAACCAATGCAACCTTAAACAAATTTATAGAGGTAAGGCCAGAACAAAGTTCTTATTGGTGTATTTTTTTTAACATCTGAACAGCATGCTGTATTGATAGTTTCCTCCTTTACTAGTTGATAACAGATGTGGAAGCCATATGAAGAGGTATGACGCTATTTGTGTACTGACCTTTTTCAAATACCAGTGCCATGATCCAAAGACCTACAGATAAATCTATTCACCAAAACATACTTCTGAAAGTGAAGCAAAGAAATAATTATACCATATAGTATGTTGTACATTGGTTAGGCCTGAAAACAGGAATTATCTGGCAGAGTTATGTGTTGAATGATACAGAAGTAAGCTAGTGATAAGAATTCAGTTTTAGATTAACTTAGACTAGTGTAACATTTCTCCTATTGCGTAGTGATTAAAAAGAGAATAATTAACTATACATTATGGATCAGAAGCTTAGGAACAAATAACAGGATGGCAATATGCTTTCATAACTCTAGTATAGTTTAAGAGAATCCTCTGAGAGTCATAGTGAAGTTTGTGGTGGTAGGCTTGCTCTGCATCCTGAGCTGCTGAAGCTCCTGTAAGTATTTCGGCACCTGCTGCAATTATTTACTGACTAAAGCTGGGTTGCTTGGCATATGTTGCTAGTATCCGAGTAGATCATCCGAACCTTGAATCTAGCATGTTGGAGCTATAAACTGCATAGTTAAAGTGAATGCATGTATTCTAACAACAGGTTCCTCCAAAGTTACCTCCTGGTAAGGTCTGAGCTTGTAATGCAGTCTCTTGTCCAGTGTGGGATAATTTACAAGAAACGGAGTGAGATAACATTTGCTTGCCTTTATACTCTCATTACTAAGTCAAAGATGCTTAGGCTACATTTCAGTCATTTCAGTGACAGCTACAGTGACAATGATGGGTTGCTGCAAGGAGAATGAAGAGTGATCACCTTTTTTTTTTTACTATTGAGGGTAATAGCAAAATGTAAAGCAAAATTTTGTTATTCTTTAGTTATGGTAACTCAGGAACTGGAACAATGTATTGTCCTGTGCTCTTAACAGTAGGAGGTTTTATAAGCCTGTTCTAAATAGAAGGAGAGAAAGGGAAGATCTAATCCTCATATCAGAATGCTTTTAGTGAAGTATGTAGCTTTGCAAACCGGAAACATCCTGTTACTTTAAAAGGAATTATCTTTTTGGAGATAGACTACTTATTTCATCAGTATTTATCTGGGTATGACTTTAAAAGAAGAAAGTCTGATTGAATGTAACAAACCTTAATCTTCAGATCTGTTTGCAGCAACAAGTTAAAGATCTCTGGCATTAGCACACAGGTTTTTAGTTATTTCAGCTGTCTGTATTCCTCACAGGGTGGCCTTAATGTCTCTGAGTTTACTTACTGAATATTTTCAAGTGGTGTTAAGCTAACCAACAAAAAATTCAGTCAGAAGTGAAGTCAGTTTACTCTTAAAGCAGGGTTATTATTTTTTTTTTTTTTTTTTTAATTTATAATTCCCTAGGAACTTAAGAAATACGGTGTTACCACAGTGGTAAGAGTGTGTGAAGCTACTTACGACACTGCTCCGGTGGAAAAAGAAGGCATTCAGGTTTTGGTAAGTAGTGTAGGAGCAGAGTTTAAAACCAACGCACTCCCTCACCCCACCTCAAAAAGTAATTTCTGTTGACACCACGTTATTAGCTCTACAACTGTATTCCAGCAGCTGATGGAGGCAAAAGCGGTACAGACATTTTCTCTTGTCAGGAAAAAATAGCCAGGCTTGAGCAAAATAATTTGCTCAACGAAAATTGATTGAAAGGACTGTATTCTTAATATTGCTATTGCTATAGTTATACTACTAGAAAATGTAAGCTCGAGTGGTTCCCTTAGCTGTCAGCTCTTTTTTCCATTGTTCCCCACACACTGCGTATGCACACAGCATACAGCATAAACAGTTCTATGCTTACGTATTTATATATGTCATCCTGTATTCTAGGATTGGCCTTTTGATGACGGTGCTCCACCATCTAACCAGATTGTCGATGATTGGCTAAACCTCCTTAAAGTTAAATTTCGTGAAGAACCTGGTTGTTGTATTGCTGTACACTGTGTTGCTGGTCTTGGAAGGTGGGTAAAGTTTTAAAGAACTGTTGAATTGCCATGCCTGGTCAGACTTGTTAAGGTCAAGTACAAAAGTTTACTTGAGGCGAATGTAAAATAGTCACATACCACGTACTGGAATGACGTCACAGTTAAAAGTCATTCAGATGGCAAGGAAATGGTTACAAGTACATATTAGACTTAAAGGATTTTAATTAATAGATGATGCTGTTATCACAGTTCTTTCACAAAAACTACTGGGTGAAGTAAACAAGTATAGTCTTGCACCAAGCGTATTGATGAGTGTCCCATTGATATTATATCTTGCTAAGTTGTCTCCATTCTAATGGATGTGGTTTTTACTAAGTTTTCTCTCCATCCCCATTTCAGCAGTATTATCGGCCTCCTTGTACTGAGGGTGTTGTAACCACTAGCCATAAAAAAGAGGGGTGTTCTGGCACATCATGACAAACTTTCATCTACTACCTGTTTGGGGGATGAAAAGTGTTTTCCAAAGTCCCAAAGCTTTGTTTCAATTTCAGCCTCAGTTGTGAGAACATAATGGTTTTGCTGCTATTGTTCTAGACTACCTGGAACTAGATGTGTTCAAAAACCAGTAGCCATATTCTAGCCATGGATTTCAGCATATCCAGTATAAAATGTAGGTTTCTGGTCTTGCTGTCCATAAGCCTGGCTTGTCCATTGTTTCTGTTATGGCTTCACATTAACAAATTTGACTGTAGTGGTGAATGCTACCAAAAGAAGTCCCTTCAGCTCCTTAAAATGGTATCTGCTGGGCTTGCCTCAAAATTAGGCAGTTAATTGGTGCCAGATCCTAGCTTTTTATCATGTTGGATTTTTGTTTGTGGGTTGTTTTGTTTTGCTTCATTTTGGGGTTTTTGGTTTGGTTTTGGCTTTTTGGTTGTTTTTGTTGTTGTTGGGTTTTGGTTTTGTTTTTTTTTTAATCCCTGAACATATAGAATGATAGAGTAGTTAGGGTTGGAAAGGACCTTAAGATCATCAAGTTCCACCCCCCCTGCCATGGGCAGGGACACCTCACACTAAACCATATCAACCAAGGCCTTGTCCAACCTGGTCTTGAGCACTGCCAGGGATGGAGCGTTCACAACCTCCCTGGGCAACCTATTCCAGTGCCTCACCACCCTAACAGGAAAGAATCCAATCTAAACTTCCCCTGTTCAAGTTTGAACCTGTTACCCCTTGTCCTATAGGCTTGCTATGAGGTGCACAAATGTATTGTTAGCCTGTGGAATGAGGGTTTGTCTTGAGGTTTTTGTTTGGTTGGTTGGTTGATTTATTTTTTTTTTTTAAAGCCATAAACTGCTATTGTATTTGAGTTTGATTCGTGTCAAGCTTTCCTGACTGAAAACTGTGTTCTGTCAGAAGAATAATACTGTGGCAAAAAAGGAAATCCTTGGGGGTGTGCAGCACCCTGTGGGTTGCATCTGTTCCTGAAACTTGTAACTAGTTCTAGGGCTTGTTAGTCCTTGTTGCTATGGGGTCCTCACTGCTTCTAAGGACACTTGTTTATGGGAATAGAAGCCCATGTGCAACTCTTGCTCACTATCAATTGGATTTGAAACAAATGGGCAAATATTACTTGCATTTTATTCCTGCTGTTCTCTCCTATACCTAAAGTCAGATGAACAAAGCTCAGGTTAATTTAAATCCCATTTTTATATGAGGATGGGTAGCTCAAACAGATGGTATAATGGCTAAGAAGTCACTGAATCAGGAGGACTGTGTGGATGAAGCCCTCTACAGGCAGGTAGGATCAGCCTCAGTCTTGCCCTCGTTCTCATGGGGGAACCTTATAGCAGCCTTCCAGTATCTGGAGGGGGCCTACAGGAATGCCAGAGAGGTACTCTTTATCAGAGACTGTAGCAACAGGACAAGGGGTAATGGGTTTAAATTTCAGCAGAAGTTCAGGTTAGATATAAGGAAGAAGTTCTTTACTGTGAGGATGCTGAGGCACTGGAAAAGGTTGCCAAAGAAGTAGAAAATGCTCTATACCTGACAGCATTCAAGGCCAGGTTGGTCAGAGCTTTGGGTGACGTGGTCTAGTGTGAAGCGTCGCTGCCCATGGCAGGGGGTTTGGAAACAGATGATCGTAAGGTCCTTTCAACCCCTAACCATTCTATGAAAAATGGCTTCTGCCTGTCTTTTTTTGCTTCCTCATGGGAGAAATACCAGATACACAGGACAGAAAAGAGAACTGGGGGAAGTTAACTCTTTTCTAAATATGTATTGGCAAATGCTAAACTGATGTTGGGTTTGGTTTTGTTTTTTGTTTAACCAGAGCTCCAGTCTTAGTTGCGCTTGCACTGATAGAATGTGGAATGAAGTATGAAGATGCAGTGCAATTCATAAGACAGTAAGTATGAAGCTAATATCTAGCTGTTTCCAAAGTTTAACATATTGATGTATCCTTGGACACTAAAGCAAAGCAAATTCTGAATACTGTTCTTGTCTTACACTCTTAAAATGTTCAGACGTACTAAATATTTTAACACACATGCTGCATACAGGCAGCGTTGTAGGACTTTGCTTGTGTGGTGGTTTTTTTTCTTGTTCCTGTGGAAACCAGAATTGGGAAGTAATCATTTGAGCAAGATATTTTTTCTTTATTTTTTTTTTTTAAATCTAAATAAAACCTTTAACAACTAACCTTCAGTTAGATCTGCAGGGTTATCTTTGTGCATATGAGAATCAGAATACCTTTGAAATTTAGGTTCTGTCTAATAGCTAGAGCCAGCAGTCATTCGTGTTTGTGGATCCTTTCTTCTGTATTACATCAAAGTGTGCTGAACAGTTCTTCCTAGTGTGGTGGTGTTTTTTTTTTTTTGGGGGGGGGGGGTGGCAGGGGGGTTTCTGCTATTCTACTGCATAAAAAGATTTCCTTGGGTTTTTTTAATAAATGTATGTATGTTGGATGAGAACAGTTGTAGTCTCGGTGCCTGAATTTTGCATATATTTAATTAAGAAGCTGCAGATCATATAAACCGTACCAAAATACTTCTTGCATAATTGCCAAGCCTTTAAAGAATTAAATTTAGTATGTATGTCTTAGTAGGCTGGTGTATATAAAGTGAGAAATAAGCCTGGTACATATTCCAAATGCTCAACAAATATGTACCCTTTTTTCACATAATTTTGGTTTGCAGAAACCAAGAAAGCTCAATTTCTGTTAAGCTTTTATTATGGGGAATTACAGTGTTTATAATATATACTTTAATACTGCAGTAATCTCCATAATTATTTGAAGAGATTGCATAACTTCAGCTTCAAGACCACCATATCATGTCTGCTTTCTAGCTTCCTTTTGAAGTTCCTTCTAAGGATATTAATATAAGATCATTGGCTTGTGTATATCAGGTTAACACACTGTCTAAAATGCTGTGTACTCCTTTTAGCATGCAGTTCAGTGAGGCATTTGTGAAAGGAAGCTACCACCCTCTTTCCTGGCACTTCTAATTATCCGTATTTTGGTTACAGTCTTGACTTAATGGTGGGTTTTTTTTTAAGGGACCTAAAAATATTTTTCTCTGGTTGGTGATATTATTTCACTGGGCAGTAGGTTAATGTTCTGTTTAAAATATTTTTTTCCCCTCCTCTAGGAAGCGGCGTGGAGCTTTTAACAGCAAGCAACTTCTGTACTTGGAGAAATACCGCCCCAAGATGCGTCTGCGCTTTAAAGACTCCAATGGTCACCGAAATAATTGTTGTATTCAGTAAAGCTCAACAGCCTACAGTACTTCTTTGGGAATAAAGGATGGAAACTAGAATTAAGCAGACTGCATGCCAAAGACATCAGTCTGATACTTTTTTTTTAGTAGCAAAGGAAGCTTCCTTAGGAGTATTTAATAGGCTAAAGGCTTAGTAGAAATGCAACTTCTATATTTAGATAAATACCCATCTGTTTGGAGACCCAGTAAATGTTTTTGCTGTACCCTGTTTCTGAGCTGTCTCCTTGTTCATTAACTCCAGGTTCAAATAACCTTTAATCATGCCATTGAGTCTTTACCACATAGTTTCAACTACTAAAAATTGGGGTACTAAAAGAAATCAATTTGTAGAGAGATTAGGTGCCAAAATACCCAGCATATCAGCTACATGTTTTTCCTTATAAATGAGCATAGTTCTGATGATGTGAGAACTACCAGCTTACCTGGACCCTTACCTTTTTTTTGTTTTTCTACAGTCATTTCAATATTTAAGAATATGGCCTCTAAGGTAGTCTTGCCTGCTCACTGTATGTTTTGTCTCCCACAATCGCACGAGAATTACCAGGATTTGCACAGTCTTGTCTTTTTAATACTATGAATTACAGTGACTTTTTACCCCAGCATCTGTACTTTTCTGTTACCTGAACCTCTCCATCTTACAAATCATTACTCTCTGGTTACTCATGTAGAAAATCTTTTAAATTGTACAGAAGCACACAAGTCTTTAATGTCTCCAGACAAAAAGCCTTACAGTAAAATTAATGTTGGCACTTCATGTGCAACCGAACAGAGGGCCTGAAAATGTTGGGAGGGGCTATTTAATATTTCTAGTAAAATGTTGCCTTTGTCTTGTGCAGGAAGTATAGAATATGCCCTTTACTTTAGTAAATATTTTTTTAAAACGTAGAAATGCTTTGTTATTGTAGCTAAAAATTCTTAATCAGAAAATTTCTGAAAAATCTTGTAGTTTCTTTTACTGTACCTATTGGAAGTTGTTTACCAACTATTGCTTTGTTGAAAGTGTGATTTTTTTTTTTTTTTCTTTTGTTTTTTCTCCTTGAGTTTCTGCTATGAATTGGGCAGACCTCTGTAATATTTTGTATGCCTTTCAAGCTGCGTAACTTAATATTTGGATACTTGATAATTTGTTTTATTATGTAATTGATAAAATGGTGATGTGTATTAATGTTAGTTCAACCATATATTTATACTGTCTTGGGAATGTGTGGTTAATAGTTCTGTGGGAGAAATAATTTTGCCAGTGTTCACCAGCTTGTAAAACCTAGTGCGAGAGCTTAAACATCTAAATAAATACTGAAATGCACTTAAAAAGTCTGTTGAAACACTCATGGCTTTCACTTTTTTGTGTGCTTTGTCTGCAATCTTGTGTCTAAATTCAGAATTATCCAGGCATCTCTTTTCTTTTAAATTTGGCCCTCAATGTCCCCTTTGCTGTAATGTTTGCTGATTGTTTTACTCATAAATAAATGTGGACAAAAATTAATACTAGAAAGTACAGTATTTCTTTATATAGCTTATTTTTTATATTCCCCACTACTAAAATAGTTGCTTACAGTTCTTGAAACTGTCTTTGCAGTAAATGCAGAAGCATACACACATCTGTAAAGCTTGGAGAACAATTTTATTAGTAGCCTTAGAAGGTAATTACAAAATAGTATGATACAATGCTTCATTGTCAAGACTGAAGCTATATCCAGACAGGAGATAGCCTAAGAATTATGTGAGCTAAGAGCTGTGTTTGAGTTTACAATGGTGACCAAACTTCCTGATGAGAACTGGAAGATGTTCTTAGTAACCAGCTGAGGTGGTGATCATAAGCTCAGCCCAGAATTAACCTATGCTTAAAATTAACCTATGGTTAAATATATGTTGTCTTTTAAAGCAGTGAGGTGGGATACTATGTGCAACATTGGCCTCAATGAGATTTGATGAAAGGTACAGTCTCATTATACTTTGAAATTCTGTATGATTTTAAATGCCTGAAATGGAATATAATTTAGCTTAGTCCACAAAGCAGCAAAACTTTTAAATCGGCTCTCCTTTGGAAGTCAAACTTGCTTTAAAGGATATTTTTATAAAGGAATACAGCTTTTGGTTGAGAAAATAAGGCCTTTTCTTTTGGAATGCTGGCCAAAGTCATCAATGTTTCTGTTGTCAAAATGGACTAGGCTTTAGCAAAGACATAACCTACAAAAATTCTGTAACTCAGAAGTACAGCAGGCTGATGTAAATACTGGTTTAACATGGATATTAATCTGTGTTAAGTTAAAAATATCCACTTGGCCACTCATGCAAGTAGGAGGAATCTGTAAACTGCCAGTAAAATACCTGATTTTTTTTTTTTTCTATTTAAATATATCAGTGCAATTTCTGTACATACATCAGATTTTGTTGCATTCTCCACAGGATTTACACTGGGAAGGAGGGCTGCATTTAGGTTAAAAACTAACATGGCAGTGCATGTGAACATGGTCCTTTGAACTCTTCAAATCTGAGAGTGGACTTGACTTTATTTCAGTAGATTGAGATTTCTAAAGAGGAAACACTTTTGCATACTGTCTCTGTTTAAAGCAAAGATGAAGTCAACTTCTGAACTATTCCCACACTTAGACGTGAATCTCAAAAAGAAAATACTTCTTCCTCTTTTGTCTAACAGCTGGTAGGTTTTAGGGACTACTTTTAACACGAAGATGAAGTAGCAGATGAAAATACATAAAATAAATAAAAATCTATGTAATTTATATCAATTCACAAATAAAAGGGAAGAAGTTCTTAATGGATTTATTGGATCTTCAGGGTAAAGCCTGGCATAGAAGACATGCTCTAATGTTATGTCTAATTTTAGATGCTTAGAATGGCTATATGACTGTTTTGTCCTTTTTTCAAGAGTTATGTTGTGGCAGTACTTAATTACATTGTAGCACATTCTTGTACTCTACTAGGCTATGTTTTGTGCTGTGGACCTAATGACTTGGGTGGGCATAGTTTGTAGATGGTGGTAGTATTACAGGATTCCTTAGCATGTAATGGAAGATAAATATTTATGGGAAACAGGAGAGGAATAGCATGATCTTCCAAATACTGCAGCAGAAAACATAGGTTTCCCATACTGTTCTGTAATATAGTCTCTAATGCTGGGAAAAGATAGTAAAGCAAGATATTCTGTTACTGGATATTGAAAAGGATATTGAAAAATGTGATTTTCTTGAATCTGATTCTCAAGTTCTGAGCTGTCAGTTTCAACTGAAGTCAGTAAATACTGTACTTACATATGAAATTATGTAGTATTGTGTATTTCTGAACAGTCCTGAAACATTTTCGACTGTGTACTCAGAACTAGTTAATGCTTGTAGTTGTTAATCTCCCTGGTCTTCAGTTTTCTGAGCATAAAAAAAAAACATTCCAGTCACAGAATCATAGAATAGTTAGGGTTGGAAAGGACTGTAAGATCATCTAGTTCCAACCCCACTGCCATGGGCAGGGATGCCTCAGTTTTGGAGATAAGCAGTAATTTCTGAACTAATCAGATGCATCTGTATAATTGCAGCAGAAACAGGAAAATGTGTAATTCTGTATTGAGTGTAAAACCTAGATTAAACTTAAGATCTTGTTTGGCCATAAGAGTGGTAATAAAGCACTGCTCATTCATGTGAGCATTGTTCCTCCCTACAAGTGAGATGGGGGTGGGAGGAAAGCTGTGTAATTAGATTTCAGTATTTGAGAAGGTCAGACTTAGGTTTCATAGGTGACATTACCTGTATCATTTTTAAGCTTTTGAGTATTTGAGTGTGTACTATTAACAGTTTTTTCATTGTTATTTTAAGTATGTGCAACGTTAAGTTAAATAGTAACTGAGAGATAGTATTCAACATTTTGGGTTTGTTGGGATTTTGCTGTATCATGAAGTATTTTCAGGAAGTATGGGCAAAGTTGTCAAACTGGAGATCATAGTTAATCTACTTGGAACAATGTGTTTGGGTTTTGTTTGGTTTTTTTTTGTTGTTGTTGGGTTTTGTTTGTTGTTTTTTTTTTTACACATTTGTCTAATCCCACTGTAATAAAATGAATAGTTATACTTCTAGTTGAATTCACATTTTAAAATCTGGCTGAAAATTGGTGGGTTTTTTATTGGTTTGGACTCATCTAACAAATAGAGACTTACACATGAGTAGAGGCTTCCCTTACACTTAGTGAAAGGGATTTTGCACTTCTCAGGCAATTAATCATGTGCTGAGAGGTATCTAAAATAGGCTAGAAGAAGAGCTCTCCAAAAGTAAGACCATAGTCTGTTAAGAGAACATGGGACAGCAAATTCAGTTTGTTATGTTGGGATCTACAAGTAGATTAAATCAATCTCGCTTTACTTGTTTGAGTGCAATAGTACAAAGTATCAGGTAAAGTATTGTGTATTTCTGTCAATGTACTTGAGAAATTACCTGCCCTTAATCATAGAATCATAGAATCGTTAGGGTTGGAAAGGACCTTAAGATCATCTAGTTCCAACCACCCTGCCATAGGCAGGGACACCTTATGCTAAATCATATCACAAAAGGCCTCGTCCAACCTGGTCTTGAACACTGCCAGGGATGGAGCATTCACAACCTCCCTGGGCAACCCATTCCAGTGCCTCACCACCATAACAGGAAAGAATTTCCGCCTTATATCCAATCTAAACTTCCCCTGTTTAAGTTTTAACCCATTACCCCTTGTCCTATCACTACAGTCTCTAATGAAGAGTCCCTCTCCAGCATCCTTATAGGCCCCCTTCAGATACTGGAAGGCTGCTAGGAGGTCTCCACTCAGCCTTCTCTTCTCCAGGCTGAACAGCCCCAACTTCCTCAGCCTGTCTTTGTACAGGAGGTGCTCCAGTCCCCTGATCATGCTCGTGGCCCTCCTCTGGACTTGTTCCAACAGTTCCATGTCCTTTTTATGTTGAGGACACCAGAACTGCACATAATACTCCAGGTGAGGTCTCACGACAGCAGAGTAAAGGGGTAGGATCACCTCCTTTGACCTGCTGGTCATGCTCCTTTTGATGCAGCCCAGGATACGGTTGGCTTTCTGGGCTGCAAGTGCACACTGCTGGCTCATGTTCATTTTCTCATCAACCAACACCCCCAAGTTCTCCGCAGGGCTGCTTTGAACCTCTTCTCTGCCCAACCTGTAGCTGTGCCTGGGATTGCTCCAACCCAGGTGTAATAAGCATTGACAATTATAACCTGATTTGATTTTGACTGATTTAGATTCCTGCGACAAATAATTAGAGTGAGCCCTATTAGGCACTACTTTTCCTCTTGATAATCGCCTGCATGAATGCAGCTAATTTTGACATATACTGTTCTAATGCGTTCTGTCCTCAATGCATTGATATTTATCTCAATTATGACACAAGTTACTTATGGGTAGAAAACATCTTTGTAAGTTAATAGCGGTTAAACGGTGGTCTGACCAGAAACGATACGGACAGTGCCAGAATATCGAGTTGCCTGCTTCAGTTTCTGATTCAAATGAGAACTCTTTCAAAGCACAGCTGAAGAAAACCAAATAGCAGAGTGTTTAGATACATGGGAATGCCCAGTATAGAAATACTCAAACAATAGAAAACAGGTAACCTGTGTCAGTATAACAAAACTGACTGGGGGGGAAGCTGCTTCCCGCAGTCTGAGGGGGATGAAGAAAGACTACAGGGCCTTGGGGCGGATGGTGAAAGAGTCTGGGGCTCAAGTGATCTTCTCCTCACTCCTTCCATCTTCCACTGATGATGTGGGAAGGAATGGGAAGATTCAGTTCATAAACGATTGGCTTCGAGACTGGTGCTACAGGCAGGGCTTTGGATTCTTTGATAACAGCTGGTTTTATAGGGCACCAGTCTGGACAATGACAAGTGGGAAAGGTTTATCTCACAGAGGCAAAAGGATGCTGGGGCACGAATTAGCAGGGCTCATTTGGAGAGCTTTAAACTAGATTCGAATGGGGATGGAGTTGTTGCTGGCCTTGCCCCAGTGGGGCAGCGCTCCAGAATTAATGAAGACTGGGAGGCCTCCTATAATCCTAGGGTGAAATCGGTGTGCTCAGCTCGCTCCCTGGAATGTCTGTACACCAATGCGCGCAGCATGGGAAATAAGCAGGAGGAGTTGGAAACCTGTGTTAAGTCAGGAGACTATGATCTGGTGGCAATTACAGAGACGTGGTGGGACAGCTCACATGACTGGAATATAGTCATGGAGGGCTATGTCCTTTTCAGGAAAGACAGGCCAGCCAGGAAGGGTGGTGGGGTTGCTCTTTATGTGCGGGAGGAACTACAATGCACTGA